CAGACGACCTCTGCCTCAGACCATGGACAACAATAATCTGAAAGCAGTGCTCAAAGAGTTCCTTTATTACATCTTTGAAATGAAGGCTTTGTCTCAAAAAGAGTCTTGGACTCTGTTTTGTAAAAAGACATTCAAAAAGTATCTTAAGAAGATGCGAGCGCTTGGCATTGGTGTGTTAGTTTTTAAAGGACCAAGGAAGAGTAGATCAGTGGGAGTTGGTGAATTGCAGCCTCAGCGCTGAAGTAGAAGGCAGTGATACGAATAAAATATTGTGAAGTTACAATGATTTGCCTTACTACCTGAAGTCTTGTTTATTGTATTTGAGCAGTTTCCCCGAGGATCATTTGATTGAATGGATAAGCTCGATTTGGTCATGGATCGCATAAGGATTTGTGGAAGTTAAAGAAGGGAAGACACTAGAGGAAGTTGCAAACGCTTAACTCTTCGAGCTCCTTAATAGAAGCTTGATTCAAGTAACAGAGAAAAGGACAGATGGAATAATCAAAAGGTGTCGTATACATGATCTTCTGTGTGAAATTATTCTGTCAGAGTCAAGAGATCAGAACTTTCTAGCGATATTAAGAGAAGGAAGCACGACGTGGCCTGAAAAAGTTAGACGCTTATCAATCCATAATACTTTGCAGAATATACCAGAAGGGAAGTGTTTCTCTCAACTTTGTTCTTTGCTCGTGTTTGGGGTAGTTGATCTGACACTATTGTTCAACGGTGGGTTGAGGTTGTTAAAAGTTTTAAACATGAGTTGAGAGGTGCTTCTTCAGAGAAATTTCCAGCTAAAGTTGTGAAGTTGTTCCATCTTACGTATCTAAGCTTGAGAGGAACAAAAGTGAAAGTGATTCCAAACTTGATCAAAAAGCTTCAGAACCTAGAGACGTTAGATCTTAAACAGACGAATGTGACAAAGTTGCCCACTGGAATTCTAAGGCTCCAAAAATTACAACATCTTTTGTTATATCATTATGAAACTGGGCATATTTATCTTCCGTTTCACAGTAAACATGGCTTTGAGGCTCCATCTAAGATAGGAGTCTTACAATCCCTATAAAAGTTGTGTTTCATAGAGGCAAACCATGTCAATGGAAGCACCATGGTGAAACAGATAGGAAAGCTTACCCAATTGAGGAGGTTAGGCATTTTGAAGTTGAGAAGAGAAGATGAGGAGGTTCTGTGCTCCTCCATTGAGAACCTCAGCAACCTTCGCTCATTAAGTATAACCTCAATAGAAGAGGATGCAATCCTTGATCTAAAATCTTTCAGCTCCTCAATTTCTTCGACAACTATACATGAAAGGATGTTTAGAGGAGTTTCCGCCTTGGATTTCCTCACAGCCTTGCATGCATATATTTCGGGGGGAGCAAATTACAAGATGATCCACTACAATCCCTTAAAGATTTGCCCAATCTAGCTCGCCTCACACTTGTTCAGGATGAATATGAAGGGGAGGGATTGTGTTTCAAGGCTGGTAGGTTTCAAAGCCTTAAGTTTTTACAAGATTAAGAGGATTGACAGGGGTGACACTAGAGGAAGGCACATTGCCTCATCTTGAAACACTATCTATGGTTGCAATTTGGAGGAGTTGCCTAGTGGCATTAAACATCTATCCAATCTTTACTATCTTGACTTGTGTAATATGTCAGATATATTAATTTCAAAACTGAATCGAAACGTGCAAGGTGAGTAATACTTGAAAATAGCAGACACACCTAAGGTTTAAATTGGAACTCAAAAGAAGGATATTGTAGAGCATATTATCTGTAGACAGAAGGGTGAAAAACGTATATGTGTTTTCTTTTTTCTCGTTCTTGATAATTGATTTTTGTTGTAAATTGTATCATGATTCAGATTTTTTTATTTGTATCTTCTTCCTTCTTTTTCTTTTCTTTTTTTTTTTATTGTAATTATTTTTCAATATTTTGGTGGCTTGGAAATCTGATATGTAACCTCCTTAATTGATCCTAAAGAATTATAGCAACTTTATAAATTTGAATTAGAATTGTGGTTGTATATTTTTGTAATTGCAATGATTCTAATTTAGAATCGACACAAGTTAAACAAGTCTTGGTTTTATGATTTCTAAGGATTGCCTTGTTTAAGCATTTTTAGGGACTAGTTCGAACTTCAACAAAACCCATCCAAGACTAGAGTTGTGCCTGTGCTGCTGTCTGTATTCATATACTTTTAGGTAGATTTGTTTTTAGAAGTCAAGTAATCCACTAATCCCAACTAAAATAACACAAGGGGGCCTTTAAAAGAACGCTACAAGTGAATTGAATATAACATAAGTGGATTTTAATTGCACAAGTGAATTGTTAAAATAATTTTAAAAAAATTGAAAGTGGAAAAAAATCACAAATGCTGTGATTAATTTATGCATCAAACTTCATCTCCATTCCAATTGTTTTTCATCTTGGGGCCAGTAGGACCTTCTTCTCCAAGCACTTCATTAGGTAAAATGTTCACCAAACTCTCGAATGCAGATTTCAGATCTCCCTTCAACTTGTTCTCCACCTTCTTTGCCTCTACCCCAATATTATAGGCAAATTTTGGGCCCCATTTTCTGTCATAGTTCAGCCATGGTGGCTCAACAATTTCCCCCTGAAGATGCTCAGCTGAAACCACTGAATACCTTGCTCCGGTGTCTATGACATTGTCACTCTTGGCCGTGTCGTTCCTTAATCCAATTCCAGTAGCTCCTTGCAAAACTAGCCCTGGTTTTGGGAACATGGCATGGCCATTCAAGGATGCATAGGCAACTAGTTTGTTACCTGTTGGAGACTTAGACACTAAAACAATTAAATATAAAATTAACTATCAGGAAAATATATATCAACAATAAAATCATGAAACATAAAATGTATATTACTATATTATAAAAGGAACAATCCACCTGGTGTGTGAACCCAAATGAATATTCTACGTCCAATTTACCCTACAATTGCTTCATTTCTTCTTCTTCTTATTTTTTATATCTCTTACTCATCTCCTATCAGCTGCTTTCATTATAGATTTCATAGCACACGCATTGTGCGTACATAGCCCCTGGTAATAATAAAAGTAGGAAAATAAAATAGTTCGTGAAAGAGTTATGACAAGTCATTATCTTAAGGTCATATTCGACCCCATTCATGGAGGTATATATTGACTCTGTCAAATTTCACTCTTGGATGCAATCCCAAATCAGTGTCTAACACATTGCACGATCTGTCACAACAGAATGTCAAGCCTTTCTCAAGTCAACCAAAAAACAAAGAGAGAATTTTGATCTTGTTTTTATCTCCACAACCAAATGACCAAGAGGCACTTTTCCTGAACAAACATAATTGTTCAAATTTTATTCTTTTTTTTTTTTAATTTTTATTTTTACCATAGTTGTACCTCTTTATTTTAAATTTCAAAATAACTGTAAATAAATGAAGGATTGAATCCAACATTACCTTGTTGGAATTCAAGCAATGAAGAATCTAACCATGTCCCTCCACTATGCTCTGAGAAGTAAACACTATACAACACCCCATTGAAGTTGCTGACCCTCAATGTCAAATGCTCCCAATCACCAACATGTTCACCAATCTTCCCTAATGGGATGTCAATGAGCTCAAGCTTAGCAGTTGCAGGTCCATTGAATGGGCAAAAAATCCACACAGCTATGTCAGTGAAAGTCGCGCCAAGCATTGGCTTTATGTGCAAATAAGCCTCAGAGCTCTGCAAATCCCCTCTCATGACTCTCTCTTTGGCATTGTCATCAATTGGAAGGTCTATCCAATATGCATCATCAGTTGAGCCCCCTTGTGGAAGATTTGAGCCACTTGGGTCAATTGGAACAGGGTTGGATTCATCCCCTTTAGTATATAGTAATGCCCCATTGTTGAAAAACCAAGTCACAGAAGAGGGAAGGTAAGTCTCTTTAGGATGAAAGTAAATCAATGGAGAGTAGGCTTGTACTAATGCTTTGATTTGTGTTAGATTAGGCATAGAAGACAAGTCAAATTTATTGTTTTTCAAACAAGCTAGAGATAAGGATGTGTTATAAGCATTGTTTTGGGCTATAAATGTACCAACAGACACAGTAGGCTCATTGGTCCCTCTTTTGCTAGGCTGCAAACTATACACATTGAAACCCTTTGAGCTGCTCTGATCAGTGCCTTGTCCCCAAATCCAATTACTGGTTTCTGTTTGGTCGGTGAGGTCAGAGCGGACGCATCGGATTTTGGTCAGGGAAGGCTTGTTTGGTGAGGTTGTGACAACATGACCAAGAGCCAAGTAACCATCTGGTGGTGTTGGCGACCAAATGTAACCATTGCTATCTTGTTTAATTTTTAGGGACTCACTAGTCCAGACTAGAGTGTAGTCAACTGGCTCCTTTAGGGTTGAGCTTGATGGGTCATTTTCGATGTCTTTTCCGACTAGAACCCAACCGGAAAGTTGCTGGTTGTTTGGTTGACTGTAGCTGCCAAGCATGAAAAACCCATCTGGGATTGAGGATGGTTCAAAAAATGTTGCACCAAGGTCACCTGGTCCACCTTCATGGGTAGCCCAAACTTCTGTGAAATTTGATGTCTGAAAAACTTGAAGCCCTCCTAGATCTATGATTCCACTTCCAAATCCTCCACCTGTGATTTGAACCCAAAAATTATGAGAACTAATGAAGAAAGAAAGAAAACAAAACACACAACTATGAAGTTTAACAATGATATGAGTTGAGATTCTCTGTTCCCAAATTTTTCTGTCTATTTGTCCTAATGTACTTGCAGTGACGATCTCGAGATGTAGGAATTGCAAGACATAATTATATGACTGAGAGTATATTGAGACAGAGAGACAGAAAAAAGGATTTGAGTACAGAGAATTGAGATTATAGAAATTGAAACCTGGTGGCCAAGTGGGTATTGGAGAGGGAAGCTTGAAAATGGTGTCAATGGGCAAAGTTTTTCTTTGCTTAGAGGAAGAGGAGAAACATAGACAATTTCCCATTGCTGGATTTTTGTAAAGAAAGATTGAAGAGAGACAACTAAAGGAGGTCCTGAGATTTATATGTATAAAACATCATTGAGGAGGCATATTCTAAATTACAGGGTGGTTGATGAAAGTGATGATGACAAAGTGATCAATGGACTGGTCCCCATAAATAAAGATCTTCATTATTGGATTTTATGTGAAAGTAACTTATTGGTTACATCTCATGATCGTACCTTGTATGACTTATCTTTTTATTTATTTATTTATTTATTTTTGTTCTTTGGATGATTCATGGTTATATGTACATTCGGATTCCAATTTCTATGTAAATTATGATTATTTAAATTGACGTTGATTATTATAAATTATTGTGATGTTATGGTAATTGTCCAATTAACTCTGGGACAAAGTATATATGCTCTACATATCCCTGAAAAATGTGTTCCATACGACACAAAGTCATCCAAGAATGAATGCTTCACCGTAATATATACTTCTTTGCCTCGTTTGGTAGGTGAGTGGCCATCTTAACGATCAAAATTGTTCATTTTCGGCAAAAAAATAAGATCAATCTAATATTGGACCGAAGGTGCTATTGGGACAGAAGGTGCTATTGAGGCCTGTGCGACCCACCATGAGTTTATTCGAATTGTTGATTTTGTAAATATGTATAGATTATTTATGAAAAAAAAATCAAATTGATTCAATATTCATAAATTCTTATTACATATTGTCTTAAAAAATGAATAGTATATTTTCAAAATTATATTTGTTGTTTATTTTATTTAAAAAATTATATAATTGTGAATATCGAATCAATTAGATTTTTTTATGAAAAATTTCTCACAAAATTTTATAAAATAAATAACTTAAATCATCAAAATAAAAATTATAATGGCTTCATGGCTCCAACAACAACCTCTAATGAGGGGAGATTTTCGGTATATACATAGGTGTTGTGCTTTTGTTCAAAATTAAGTATAAGTTTGTTGTTTAATGAAATGACCATGATAAAGAAATATTGATGGTGCTACCACATCTTTTTTAATTAAAGCAGGAAGAAAAAATGAAAAAAAAAATATTGATCATGATAAAGAAATATCGATGGTGTTACTAACTTTTTTTAATTAAAACAAGAAGAAAAAATGAAAAAATAAAAAATTGACAGATAGATGATGCTTTATGACTTTTTTGAATGGAGTAGTTTGGAGAATGAAGGATTACCTAACCTAGGGAGGAATAGAGAAAAATAATAATAAAAAAAAGGGAAAGCAAGTTTTGACAGAAGTATATATTGTTTGGGGATAGTGTGACAATTTATAGTAAATAAGTGTATTTATTTAGGCTTATTTTGAAAATATGATTAAAAGTCATATTTTAGTTTTTAATTTATTTTGAGTGATATCATCTTTTACAATTTTTCACTTTTTTTTTATATAAAAAAAAAAAGACAAATTTTTAACCATCTTCCTAAAACAACTTAAGTATCATCAAATTTAAAATTAATGATTTATAACTAGTACATCTTTATAATTTTTTTAAATTTTCATTAACCATTTTTAATTTTAAAAAAAAGTTATTACTAAAGATATTTCACCATCATTTATAATGAAATAAGAATATTAATTTTATACGTGAAATGGTGTAACTTAGGACTGAGTACAGGGCTATTCGAAGCGCACAACTCGCCTAACATGAATTGATCCGCATACAAATAGGCAATTTCACAGATACAATGCGAGCGGATACGGTTTGAAATATGACATTATTGCAGGTTGCGGGCGGGTTGCGATTTTTACCCGCACCAGCAAGAACCCGCTTGCACTTAGACTCATTTTTTTTTTTTTTTTTTTAAATTTTTAAATTTAAACTGTTGATTTCATTCATCCTATCCTAAATATTTTTGCCCAACAAACCAATCGCTAATTTGCCTAACTTTACTTATATTGTTGGGTAGTAAATGATTTTGATGATTTAGTTTAGGATTTTGAAAGATGTGCTTGTATTAGCATTGGCTTTTTGGCTTTTGAAGGTTATTTTTGTAATTGCGAGCATGCCAGTAAGGATCAATCAGTCCTTATAGAAAATTAATTACCAACCAATTATCAGACGATTGTGTTTTAGTTCTTTCAGGCTCAATGAAGAGGACTTTTACTGGTGGCTTGATTTAGGAAAATTAAACAAGATAACAATTAAATGAAGAATAATTTGAAGCATTTCATTAAAATGAAAAATTTACAATGATCCAAACTCAGCCTCGTAGAGGTTTACAACAACAATCTACTACTTGAAACTACCCCTATGAACGAAGTGTAGTGTAGGAATTTAAAGTACAGGAATGTAAAGAACAGGAAATGTAAGATTAGAAAGATAAAATTGAAAAGGAAAATAAGTAGAATAAGACTGATTTTTTGGATCTGAGTCTAGGGCTTTTTCTGGGGCCTTCTCTGCTATTTATACTTCTCGAGGATGACCATCGAACTGTATTTCTAACCGTCGAACTGCTCCTCCATAATCGTTGATCATGTTGCCTTATAATTAGCTCCACTGTGCCATCACTTACAGTTATGCTTCCCTCCTAAATTTGGATTTAAATGTGAGTAACCATTGAAGCCACATCACCTTGCATCTCTTTGTTAATCCACTGCTACTCAGATCTCGTAATAACCAATACTAACTGCTACGTGTACGATCAAGATCAAAGACTTGAATAGTCTTCCTGTATTACCCTTATTCTGTCACGCGTCGAATTGTAATTGGCTTGTACAAAATATGTAGCCAACATTACCCCTCGCACTATACCCAATGCTTGGTGATATTAGTGGATCAAGGTCTTTTATCCACATCTTAGAACGTGCATGAGTTTTGCATTCTCCTAGAAATGTAACTGTCATTCATCACCTGCATCAAAATCTCCTTCAATCTTTTGAACACTCCCACCACCTTAGTATTCGAACAGACTGATACACTTCCTATGGCCGAATCAACTTTTTGCTCCATTGATCGAGCACATGAAGATTCATCTGATGATGCTGTTCCTCCTCGAAAGAACCTCCATGCATTAATTAGCCACATTTACCCACCTTTCTATATTCAGGTCATAGATGCCTTTGCAAATTATCAACCCTTGGACTATGAACACATTGCCCTTAATCTTTTGATTCAGAAACTTACAAATATGGACATGGGAAGTTCTTCTTCACAACCCTCTGCATGGGACAAGGCTGTAACTTCTTCTTCCTCTGGGACTTCTGACTAGACAAGCTGGTCAAAACCTGATGTCTGCGATTTAAGGGAGCGAATCAACTATCATTTTGTCGAGTTTACTGACCCATTAGAATTCCCTTCTTATGCGCGAAGCTCGATGGTCTATCCTTACGTGCCTATCGACCGTCGACGCAATTTAGAGGAGAATCTACTTGTAGCATGGTACACATCCTCTATGCCTACAAAGATAGTGCACACTGCCTGACGCTCCGAAGAGGCACAAGGGTACAATTTGTCGTTCTTAGCCCAGAAGGCGAAGCTTTGCTCTTCTGACTGGCTCGATTATATTAATGCCCTCGTTCCTTCTGCCCTTGCTCCTCCTCCTGAAGTGGAGACTTCCATACCTTCTCCTCTGCCAATGCCTTGCTGGACAGAGAGACTGAGGCTTGCCCTCTCTGAGGATAAGGTCTTTCCTCCCTATAAGCCTCCACCTTCTCCTACTCCAGCTGAGCGGAAGCAAGCCTAACTTCTGCTTGTGGTCTTCTCTTGCTTGTCTTTTAATAGCCTTGAGGATGACATTCCTCTCAAGAACCTTCGATGGGCTTGTGACATTCTGACTCGGGGTCATGTCCTCAACCCTCTTGCCCAAGCAGAGCTTCACATGTTTTTGGACCAACTTCCATTGCTCCTCCACTGGCATTGGACCTTTGTGGCCACTACTCAATCTTTAGACCAGCTCTCATCCCTTCGAGTTCATGCCCAGTACGAAGTAGAGAACTTCATTGAAGAATTTGAAAGCTTCAAGAATAAAGATTCTGTGTACTGGGATAACTTGGATATAGACGAGTTGGAACAAGGATTGAGAGAAACAACATTCGAAATAAAGGCTGAAGAGCTCTTTTATGAAGTGAGTGCACATCAACTTATGCAGCCAATCCTAGAAGAAATAGAGGATAGAATAAAGAAAGAACAGAAATTCATTGATCATAGTTGGACCAAATTTCATGATCTTGTTATTTATTCTATTCCCTACTTTTATGAGCTTGAATTTGTACCCAAAGAGGGCCATTCAATGTAATTGCTTTTGCTTTAATACAACTAAGACTTCTCTTTGTTCGGCATTGTTTCATCTTGTCTCCATTTGTCTTTAAAAGCAAATTTAGGGCTTCGAACTAGACAATCTTATCCTTCGAATCTGAACTTAATCGTTTTAAACGAAACACTACAAAAACCAACATGAACTTTTCCAATTTATGGAATAAAGTTGACAGTTTTGACTGATTTTATTTGGAATCAGTGCTTTGAATTTTAACAATCTTACTCCTTAACGCTTGTTTTCATCATAACCAACATATGGCCATAGTTAGTATGATCAATCAACTTTAAATTGTCCTTTTTTCCTTCAAACAACAGTCCATACTTTCAAAAATATGAAAGCTCCTTTTCAAGGCTGCACTATTTTAGTTCGAAAAGACAATCTCTTTTTGTATATATATATAAACCACCTAATGGCTTTGATGTTTCGAATACCAATTCCCATTCTTAAGGAGTCTCAAGTTTTGCTTCGAAGGACATCACTCTCATTTAAGAAACCTAAAACAGGTCTTTAATCCCTTTGAAATAAACAAATACTTGAGCATTCTTACACCTTAGATATGGAACGTGTTTCGAAGTCCGCTTCTATGTTTCGAAGCCGTTGTTATTTGACTTTTGGGGCCCAAAATCTGGTTTCGAAGCCAAATATTTTACCTCGAAGCTGGTATCAACATCTGGGATGTGTTTTTTCCTCCAAAAGTATCAATATTGAAGGAAACTCTTCGTATCTGTACTTTCAATACTTAATGAATTACGCGATACATTTCCCAGACACAAAGGTTTTTAAAACCCTTTTACTTCGTGTTTTGAAGTCACTTGCTCGTTTAACACACAAACCCTTTTCTCTACTGACTCTCTACT